TGTTCCTCCCCCACTGACACCAACGATGGGGCACTATTCCTCCTCCCCACTGACACCAACGATGGGGCACTATTCCTCCCCCACTGACACCAATGATGGGGCACTATTCCTCCCCCACTGACACCAATGATGGGGCACTTTTCTCCCCACTGATACCAATGATGGGGCACTATTCCTCCCCCACTGACACCAATGATGGGGCACTATTCCTCCCCCACTGACACCAACGATGGGGCACTATTCCTCCTCCCCACTGACACCAATGATGGGGCACTATTCCTCCCCCACTGACACCAATGATGGGGCACTTTTCTCCCCACTGATACCAATGATGGGGCACTATTCCTCCCCCACTGACACCAATGATGGGGCACTATTCCTCCCCCACTGACACCAACGATGGGGCACTATTCCTCCTCCCCACTGACACCAACGATGGGGCACTATTCCTCCTCCCCACTGACACCAATGATGGGGCACTATTCCTCCCACTGATACCAATGATGGGGCGTGTTGGAAGAGGGGTAGTCTTATACGGCAAGTATAGCTCAAACTCTATATTTTAACAGGAAAAGTAGGGGGTCGTCTTATACGCCCAGTCGTCTTATACGCCGGCAAATACGGTAATTCTCCCTCCCCCCTCGATCCTAGTTTAAATACTCCTCCAGCCTTCCCATAAACCTCTCCCCCTTCCATTTAGGTGAAATCCATCTCTAGCATATAGTTTGCACCCAATGAAAAGTCAGCCCAGTGCTCTAGAAACCCAAATCCTTCCCTCTCTGTTCTTTCCACTTCCGGATTATGGCCCCAACAGTGCTCGCTGGAACATTCAGAAGTTTAGAAATCCTTCTGTAACCAATGCCATCAGTATATTTTGCAACAATAAGGTTATAAAAGTCTTGAGAGAGCGATTTGCTTTTACCCATCATGAGATGTTTCTTGTGTGACACCTTGGTAATGAGACACCTATTTATATGCCATCAGTTGAGACTGAATCAGCTGGTATTAATATGCACTGACAAGGGGCAGGGTTGCTTTCTAATTACTGATAGCTTTCAGCTGGAATCTTGACTCTCCATGCCTTTTTGCATCTTCCTTTCTTCTTCATGTGTTCAATACTTTTTCCCTGTGTTGTTCCATTTTATTACACATAACTTAATTTGTGAACATATTTGTTTTTGTTTCTTCGTATGTATGAATTCCATGGGGGGTTACTGACATGTGGTGAAAATTTGATGTCAATAGCACCTTTAGAAATATATTTTCCAGAGAAAAATGGTAACGTGTTCAATACTAATTTTACCCGCTGTAAGCAAAAAACAGAAAGCATTAATAGAGACGGTGCTTCTGTCGCAGAGTCTGCTTAATCCCTTGCCTACCGGGCACTTTTACCCCCTTCCTGCCCAGACCAATTTTCAGCTTTCAGCGCTCTCATACTTTGAATGACAATTGCACGGTCATGTAACACTGCACCCAAACTACATTTTTATAATTTTTTAAAGAAAAATAGAGCTTTTTATTGGTGGTATTTGATCACCACTGGGGTTTTTATTTTTTGCTCAACAAACTAAAAAGTCAAAAAATTTTGAAAACAAAAAGTATTTTCTTAATTTCTGTTATAAAAGTTTGCAAATAAGTAATTTTTCTCCTTCACTGATGGGCACTGATAGGCTGCACTGATGGGCACTGATAGGCTTCACTGATGAGGCTGCACTGACGGGCACTGTTAGGTGGCACTGATGGGCTTTGTTAGGCGTCACTGATAGGCAGCACTGACGGCACTGTTAGGCAGCACTGTCGGGCACTACTGATTAGTTGATGGGCACGGATTTCCAGCACAGATTGCCAGCACAGATGGGCACTATTGGCCACACTGATGGGGCTACACTGATCACCAGGACACTAAATCAGGGTAGATGTCCCCCTGCGAAATGCTGCTTACCGGCTCTCCTCTCCTCATATGCTGTCAGCGTGAGGAGAGGACTGCCGATTACCGGCATTTCCTATTTACCCGGTGATCAGCTGTGATTGAACTCAGCTGGTCACATGGTAAAAGGGGCTGTGATTGGCCCGTTTCACAGCCATGTGATCAGCTGTGTCCGAAGGACACAGCAATCACAGATCACGCGCAGTGTGTGCCCCAGGGAATGCGGTTCTGGGAGGACATCCATGGACGCCCTCCCAGAACTAGCCATCCACGCTGTAGCCATCTTTCGGTCGGGAACAGGATAAAAGACGAAAAATAGGAATAAAAACAGTAACATGCAACAAGAAACACGTGAATGTTTTCTGTGCAAGAAACAAGGTCGTTTAAACACAGATTGCAGAATCTGGAAAGCTGGAATGCAAAAACAAACTAAACTACAAAAGGCCAAAAGTGTGAAGGAAGAAACTGATTTTTATTCAGATAATGAATACGTTTTTCAGTCCAATAGTTTCACCTCATCTTTTACAGGCATGGTGTGTTCATTCAGGAGCTACGAGTCACATGACAATGACAGAAATTTCTTTATTCACCTTGACCAGAGTGAAACAGAAAACAATCACCACGGCTAATGGGTACATAATGGAATCAGAAGAAATAGGAGAGGGTTTTGTTTACTGTCCTAATTCCCAGAGTGTCACCAGAAATGTACCATTGGAAAATGTCCTGTGTGTCCCTGCTCTTGAAACTAATCTTTTGTCAGTGAAGAAGCTCACAAAACAAGCAATGTAGTGACCCTGCAGGTCAGGGGTACTGAATTAAAATTCACGGGGGTTCCGGAAAGTAATATTTTCTTCCAGTGGAGGTCCAAGTGTCACGTTGGTGCTATGACTCAGATCCTTCACATCACAGCCTCCCATGCACATTACGGTTTCTCCCCCCCCCATTTTACATCACAGACCGCCCTGTCACAGCCCCCCCATCACTGACATCCCATTACAGTCCACCCCCCCATCACCAACTGCTCCATCACAGACCATCCCATCACATACTCTGCTCATCACAGAGTCTGTCCATGACAGACCCCTCAGCACATATCCACTTCATCACAGATCCTCTCCATCATAGATCCCTCATCACAGATCCCCAATCACAGATAACTTTCATCACAGACCCACCCCAATCACAGACCCCTCATCTAAGATCCCCCATCATCATAGATCCCTCATCACAGATCCCCAATCACAGATAACTTTCATCACAGACCCCCCCCAATCACAGATCAAAGATCCCCCATCATCACAGATCCCCAACATCATAGACCCCCAATCCCCATCATCACAGACCCACCCCAATCACAGTCATCACAGATCCCCTCTATCATAGATCCCCTCATCACAGACCCCCAATCACAGATAACCTTCATCACAGACCCATCTCAATCCCAGACCCCTCATCCCAGATCCCCTCCATCATAGATACCTCATCAGAGAACCCCAATCACAGATAACCATCATCACAGACCCATCCCAATCACAGACCCCTCATCTTAGATCCCCCGTCATCACAGATCCCCTCCATCATAGATCCCCTCATCACAGACCCCCAATCACAGATAACCATCATCACAGACCCATCCCAATCACAGACTCCTCATCTCAGATCCCCTCCATCATAGATACCTCATCACAGACCCCCAATCACAGATAACCATCATCACCACAGACCCATCCCAATCACAGACCCCTCATCTCAGATCCCCCGTCATCACAGATCCCCTCCATCATAGATCCCCTCATCACAGACCCCCAATCACAGATAGCCATCATCATCACAGACCCATCCCAATCACAGACCCCTCATCTTTGATCCCCCTCATCACATACCCCCCCTTCATCACAGATCCTCTCCATCATAAATCCCTCATCACAGATCCCAATCACAGATAACTTTCATCACAGACCTACCCCAATCACAGACCCCTCATTTAAGATCCCCCATCATCACAGATCCCCTCCATCATAGATACCTCATCACAGATCCCCAATCACAGATAACATTCATCACATACCCACCCCAATCACAGCCCCCTCATCTTAGATCCCCCTCATCACATACCCCCCATCATAGATACCTCATCACAGACCCACCCCAATCACAGACCCTCATCTTAGATCCCCCTCATCACATACCCCCCCATCATCACAGATCCCCTCACATCATAGATACCTAATCACAGACCCCCCAATCACAGACCCCTCATCACAGACCACCCCAATCACCCCCATCACAGACCCCACAGACCCCATCACAGATCACCCCATCACAGTCCTCCCTGCATATTACAGATTCCTGTCCCTTTCATAATATCGCAGCACTTCCCCCTTCCTACTCCCCCATCACACTGTCCAGCCTCATTCACACAAGACAACAAGCACAGCAGGTCTGGACATAGGGTGGGACTTTTCATGTTAAAGGCGGGTAAATGATTGCTTGGACCGCCCCACTGTCTAGCAACCAATCACCTGCAACCAATCACTCACTTCGTAACATAAAAAGCCACTGTCCTATGTCCAGACCTGCCGTGCTTCCCGGCTGCTGTGAATAACATAGTACAGTGTGGGAAGGGGGAGTGCTGCGATATTATGAAAGGGACAGAAATGCTGTGCCTCAAATGTTGTGCTCTTCCTTGAGGATAACAGCGGCAGCAGGTAGGTGAGTCGGCGGCGGGGAAAAGACATTCAGATAACTATTTGGTGAGGCTGCGGTCTGGAAAGGAATGTTTCTGGGTCCGGATCCGGACCGTGGTCCACCATTTAGTGATGCTTGCTCTAGGTGATAGTTGTGCCATCACAAAAAGGGGATCTTACTTGCAGAGGCTGAAATTACAAATGAACTGTATCAGCTGAACTGCAATGAAGTGGTTAATACCACTTGAAAAACATTCAAGCTGCCTTCACGCATGGCACAGATGACTTGGGCACAGAAACCCTGACGCAATAAAGAAATTAACTGAGAAAGACTAGCAAGTGGAATAAAAATGAGTCGATGTGGTCAAACAATGAAATGCACCAGCTGTAAAAAAGGAAAAAAAAAAAAAATGACAAAAGCCTTTCCAAAGCAGAGCAACAGCAGTGCTAAAAAGCTGCTTCGACCTGAGTTGCACCAATTTAAACACTTCCATAGCACGAAATAGGGTGCGCCATTGTAATGTGACTTTGATCTGTCATGACAAGTCGCACCGGTGTAAACTGGGGCTTAAGCAGGAAATCCACCAGAAGCAATAAAGGCATTCCAGCCTAGCGTCTGCCCTATGTTGCTCGCGTAGCATTAACCACTTCCCGACCGGCCGTTGTATATAAACGGCCGGACAGTGGAAGTGCAGGGGCGGGTGTCTGTTTATAAACGGCCTCCCCGCACCCTGCTTGTGTGCACTCCCTGGGAGCGCGCAGCACCGCGATCCGGTGCCCGCTGTGTCCTCCGGACACAGTGGAACACCGATCGTTGAACGGGACCTCTGTATGAAGTCCCGATCATGTGATCACTGATTGGCCAATCAGTGATCACATGCAGATTAGTAAGCAAGATGTCACTTGTGACATCATTGCTTACTATGTGTGAAATCTGTGAATGATCACAGAGGTCACATGGTACAATGCTATTCACAACAGCCTTGTACCATGTGACAAGCTGTGACCAATCACAGCTCACACACTAGGTCTCAATGGCTGCAAGAATGCAGCCAGAGAGAAGGAGAAATGATTGCTTTTACAGCCTTTATGGGTGTAAAAGCAATTAGTGTAAAAAAAAGAAAAATCTTCATCACCCCCCACATGTAGTACAGTGTCACCATGGTGACACTGTACTGCTAGGGTGACAGTATGTAAAAAAAATAAATAAATAAATAAAAAATAATATAAAAAAAATTAAAACAAAAATGTTTATAAATTATAATTTTGGTTATAAACTAATTTGGGTTATTTTTTTTTTACTAAAAATATAACGGAATAAATTTTGGCCAAGATTTATGATGAAATACTATTTATTTGCAAAATTTATAAGAAAAACACTTTTTAAAAATTTTTTGGACATTTTAATTTACATAGCAAAAAAATAAAAATCCCAGTGGTGAATAAATACCACCAAAACAAAGCTTTATCTGTCTCAAAAAAATGCTACAAAATTCATATGGGTACAGTGTTGCATGACCGCGCAATTGTCATTCAAAGTGTGATAGCGCTGAAAGCTGAAAATTGGCCTGGACAGGAAGGGGGTGAAAGTGTCCGGACTGGAAGTGGTTAAAACCAGAGCCAGATTCACGGGATGAGATACAAACAATTCCAAACCATGTGAAACAGATTTGAAGAATTGATATCCAAAAATGGGACTAATTATAAGTAAAGAAAGGCTCTTTAAGCAGGATCCATAAAAAGGAACAGATTTTAATAGAAACTTACATATAAAACAGGGATATCCGGCTTCCAGCACTGATCTCTCAAGTCCTAGGTTGAAAACCACATGTTTCCAACCAACAAAATGGCCGCGGCGACACTTCCGGTTAGCGTGTGTGCGTGATGACGTCATCACGGGGAGTGACGTCATCACGCACACACACGCTAACCGAAAGTGTCTCCGCGGCCATTTTGTTGGTTGGAAACATGTGGTTTTCAACCTAGGACTTGAGAGATCAGTGCTGGAAGCCGGATATCCCTGTTTTATATGTAAGTTTCTATTAAAATCTGTTCCTTTTTATGGATCCTGCTTAAAGAGCCTTTCTTTACTTCTATGAGGAATACCCCGGAAAATGAAGGATTGAGAGATACGGGTTTTCTATGTCAGCTTATGCCTGAAAATATTGGAAGAGGGTAATAGTACTTGGTATCACTTTTGGCTGGAGTTTAAAGGGTACTAGTACCTAGTATCACTATTCACTTGTGGTTGGAGTGATCACGATTTTTCACGTTTTGGGTTTTCATTTATTTTAATTTTTATTTTATTTTATTTTATTTATTCATTGTTTTATTTGGATTGATATATAATTAATTCATTTTGCACAATTTTGATGTGTTTTTTTGTTATGCACAGAGTGAAGTATATAAGTTTATATTTTTAAGGGTAATACACTATGAATTTTTTTATTTTTCTTTTTCTTTGAGGTTATCACGGAGTATTTAGGATCGTTTTTTGCTTCATTGGATTTATAAGAAAATATTTTTGGAAATATTTTTGGAACTTGGACACTTTGGGTTTACTAATTTTTTTATATATATTTTATATTCTATTTACTTGGAATTATGTGTGGATTTATTTAAACACATTTTGATATTGATTATAATAATAGTTGGAGTTAGTTTGGGGGATCTATATGTGTATCACAAAAAGGATTTATTAGATTGTATACTTTCTAGGGAGAAAGCAGTGTTTTTGTGATGGGGTGGAAATATAGGAGTTTATTGATTAATTATAAGTAGTTGTTGAGTGGGGGTGTCGGAATACAGTGCTCACGTATTTTGTGCAACAACTGCTTCAGTATTCGGTAGAGATATGTTCTTCAGCCAGTAGATGGCAGTGTTTATAAGTTTGTAGCTGTATCTATGGTAAATCTCTATGTCTTTTTCTCTGAATAAAGTTTCCTGTTTCCTTGTTGCAGTGAAGCTGCAGTCTATTCTGTAGGACTATATACACTATCTCTAACACCCAGATCTGTGTGGTCAGTAGGTTGTATAAGTAATAATAACGAATAGGACCTACCTGGAGTGTACAGGATTAAGCAGTGATGCAGTGGTGTTGAGGGCTGACAGATGGGTGTACAGTTCACATCTGAGGACCAGGATGACACCAACATTCCGTAATCAAAGACCTTGAAGATTAGCTGCACTAGTGGGTAGAGGTGTCAGCCCTGAAATCCTCCTATGGGAATAAAGCATGTTTATGGGTTAGTTCACCTTCACCAAAAAACTGCCTATGCAGATAAGGGGTGTCTGTAGATAAAAACAAACTGTGCAGCTCTATTGAAGTTAAATAATGCCCTTGCGATAGGTGTAGGTTTACGTACCTCCCGAAGACTGACTGGAAAAGTCCTAGGACGTTGCTAGGAGGTTGCTAAGCGAGGACCAGGTATTGCTGCTCACCTCCACCATCACAGGAGTGAGCTTTTTCTTTGATTCACACCCCCCTCACATGCTCTTTGTCTCCTCTCATGCAGTAGCTCCGAGCTGAGTGTTTGAGAGCTCACTCCTGTGATGGAGAAGGTGAGTAGTTATGACTAGGACTCACTTAGCAACGTCCTAGCAACGTCCTGGGAGTATTCCAGTCAGGCTTCAGGAGGTGCAATAATGGCCTACACCTACAGCAAGGCTGGTATTCAACTTTGGTCAAAGCTGTACAGACGCCCCCCTCACCTGCATAGGCAGTTTGTTGGGAAAGGTGAACTAACCCTTTATGTGTTTATTAGGTGGTGACAGAGTGTTTTAACACCCCCCCAGCTTCATACTCCTTCCCCATTTTATACACCCCCGTCCTGTACACCCATTTCAAAAAATGTCTTCAGGAATGCCCCCTTACATTGGTTGTCAGTGGAGAAGGGCCCCCTTACCTTTGCGGTCAGCGAAGGACCCCATTAAATTGGTGGTGGGTGGTGAAGGGCCCCTCACTTGGTGTAGGCCCGGAATGGGGGCAGTGAAGGGGCGGGCTCTCCCTCTCTCCTCAAAAATCCTCCTGTTTCCCTCCAGCACTGAGGTGATCCTGGATTCCATTCTCTCATCTCTGATTGGACACTGAACTGTCCTCCTGTCCAATCACTAAACAACTCCACAGCTCTCCTCACACAACAGGCTACCCGTGTTGCTAGGAAGCTGGTCCTGAGGAGGTACAGCGGCCTAGTGCAGCCAAAATCCATCAACACACCGCGTGTTTACATCCCTGTACACTCTATATACTGCATATTACGCCGCGTGTTTACATCGCTGTACACTCTATATACTGCATATTACGCCGCGTGTTTACATCTCTGTGCACTCTATATACTGCATATTACGCCGCATTTACATCGCTGTGCACTCTATATACTGCATATTACGCCGCGTGTTTACATCGCTGTGCACTCTATATACTGTATATTACGCCGCGTTTACATCGCTGTGCACTCTATATACTGCATATTACTCCGCGTGTTTACATCCCTGTACACTCTATATACTGCATATTTACGCCGTGTGTTTACATCGCTGTACACTCTATATACTGCATATTACGCCGCGTGTTTACATCGCTGTGCACTCTATATACTGCATATTACGCCGCGTTTACATCGCTGTACACTCTATATACTGTATATTACGCCGCGTTTACATCGCTGTACACTCTATATACTGTATATTACGCCGCGTGTTTACATCGCTGTACACTCTATATACTGCATATTACGCCGCGTGTTTACATCGCTGTACACTCTATATACTGTATATTACGCCGCGTGTTTACATCGCTGTACACTCTATATACTGCATATTACGCCGCGTGTTTACATCGCTGTGCACTCTATATACTGCATATTACTCCGCGGGTTTACATCCCTGTACACTCTATATACTGCATATTACTCCGCGTGTTTACATCCCTGTACACTCTATATACTGTATATTACTCCGCGTGTTTACATCCCTGTACACTCTATATACTGCATATTACGCCGCGTGTTTACATCGCTGTACACTCTATATACTGCATATTACGCCGCGTGTTTACATCTCTGTGCACTCTATATACTGCATATTACGCCGCATTTACATCGCTGTGCACTCTATATACTGCATATTACGCCGCGTGTTTACATCGCTGTGCACTCTATATACTGTATATTACGCCGCGTTTACATCGCTGTGCACTCTATATACTGCATATTACTCCGCGTGTTTACATCCCTGTACACTCTATATACTGCATATTACGCCGTGTGTTTACATCGCTGTACACTCTATATACTGCATATTACGCCGCGTGTTTACATCGCTGTGCACTCTATATACTGCATATTACGCCGCGTTTACATCGCTGTACACTCTATATACTGTATATTACGCCGCGTTTACATCGCTGTACACTCTATATACTGTATATTACGCCGCGTGTTTACATCGCTGTACACTCTATATACTGCATATTACGCCGCGTGTTTACATCGCTGTACACTCTATATACTGTATATTACGCCGCGTGTTTACATCGCTGTACACTCTATATACTGCATATTACGCCGCGTGTTTACATCGCTGTGCACTCTATATACTGCATATTACTCCGCGGGTTTACATCCCTGTACACTCTATATACTGCATATTACTCCGCGTGTTTACATCCCTGTACACTCTATATACTGTATATTACGCCGCGTGTTTACATCGCTGTACACTCTATATACTGCATATTACGCCGCGTGTTTACATCGCTGTACACTCTATATACTGCATATTACGCCGCGTGTTTACATCTCTGTACACTCTATATACTGCATATTACGCCGCGTGTTTACATCGCTGTGTACTCTATATACTGCATATTACGCCGCGTGTTTACATCCCTGTACACTCTATATAC